CAGGTGACAATAAGCCACTTTTCAATCCTTATAAAATAAGCAATTAGTTTGGCTTGGATCCAGACTGTTAGTCACTCCTTAGTTCCATTGTAATTAATGGTACAAGTTAGTTATGTCTAACTTAAGACCCGTTCATTTCAATAGAACTAAAGCTTGATTAATTTAGTTTACTCCAACCCTTCCTGTTCTGCAGGGTGGAGAAGAGATAGCTGTTAAACACATTGCTCAGTGATCCCACCTTAAGATAATAATAATCTTTAAAAACCACCACAGCCATACATGTTCTTTTCCTTCGTATACTTATCCATGGCAGTGAAATAACAGTAAGTGGGAGATAGCAGGTTGTGAAGACTGCCCTATTGTCGTCTATCATCAACATCAGTCAACAAGACGTGTATAAGCCTTTACACGTTCTACTAAATGAGTGCTGGAATGCAGTACTCCACCTGTTATCCCTGACCAATGTACCCAAAACTGGGCTCAGGGGAATGGTACAATGGTAAGTAGGGAGAAAGGGAAGGTGAAAAAAAAACAGTGAGTAGAAAAAAAAACAGATGAAGAAGCTGATTTGATTAGATGATGCAGCAACTAGTATGGTTGGAAAGAAACTGAGGAAGAGGGTGACCCCCCCTCCCCCCATTCTGGGACTGGAAGGGGCAGGGGGCTCCCACCCACTTCATGACGTTTTGCTATGGAAGTTTCTCTCCTATCCAGGCCTTGCACTATGTGGCAAAGACCACATATGTGATTCACAAAAACCATGACAAAGAATGGTACAACTCCTGAGTAAATGGTTTCCTTCACAGTAACTCCAGTATGACTGCAGTCATATAAAAGCAAACACAGTACTCCCAGTTTTGGGAATAAAGAAAAATAAATAATACATTCAACAACAAGGAACTCACAAGCAAGCAGATGTCAAAGGTGACAGTGATTATGAAATAAGTCAAGTGTTTCTAAGCTGATATAATCCAGACATGAATATTAAAAATGAGTCTTACTTGGCATCTTACCTCAGTTTCTCTAACAAATTATTCACCACTAGCACAACTTGAAAATGTTATTTTGAGTTATTGCTACATATTTAGTTACTGCACTGCAGTGGAAATGATGCAATAAAACTTGGATGGGTATTTAGATGAATAATCAGATACCATTTTTGAGGTTTAAAAAAGTGCTAGTTGCTTAAACATGGAAAATGGCCATCCTCCAAGAACTGCCTCACTGCAAATGTTACAAGATGTTCCCAGAGGCTTTTCTGTGAGACTCTTTCAAAAGATAACATTTCTTGCATTTGACAAGTAAATGGATACGTGCCATTTCAAAGTAATTTATTTCCAAATAATTCAGAAAGTCCTCCTCAATTCACTGAGAATGGTGATCCAAAAAACGTTACAAGCTAGACCAGATTCACCTACTACTATACCAGGTAAATTAAAGTGGAGATTTTAGACTTGAACCAGTGAACACTTTTATACATGTTTGATCCCAGGGCAGCTTAACCAGAGGTTTGTGCAATAACCTATTCAGTCATGGTGTTGTTTTACATAGGTAAATAAAAAAGTATTTCAGGCCCATATTTTTCAAGACTGAGGTTTCTAAGCAGTCCTGGAGTCAATATTTTTGATGACTTGTTTTGAATAATGCTGAATTATGCTTCCAATTCTATTTGATGGTAAACGTTGTCAAAGACAAGCGAACTTAAGAAAAAGAATAAGAGTTTGTTTCATTGACTGCTCACTGTTGTAAATCTCCCTGGAGTGTTGTGAACTGCTCAGAGAGCTTCAGTTACAGAGAGGTATAGAAATGAAATAAATAATACCAATGGAGATAGTAAGAACTGATGGTACACAATAACAGTATTATACCTTATAATAATAGCTAAAGAATAACATAAAGCATTCCCATACAAGCATGACTCATATGCAATTCACTTCCTCCCTAGTCCTGCCACTGTATTTTACTGCACCACAACTACCATGACTTCAACCCAGTAACTTTAGGAAAAGCAGGAGAAAAGCATTGGCTAGACAGGAAATTACTTGGTGTACGACTCCTACATAATTTCTACCTTGCCAAATATTGCCTGTTGCCTATGAAATTAAGCCCTCATTGTCACAAGTGGCAGCTGAGATGATACAGCTTGGCCTGTACTTTCACTATCGGGGCTCACTTGACACAATGCTATTGTATTAAAGCAAACAAAAGAAAACAAACCCTTTCACAAAGAAAAGTAGATGTCAGGCAGAAGCATTCTCACCCAGACATCTTCCTGACAGGCTAATTTCCTTAGGGTGCAATTTTATGCAGGTTTACCCAAAAAAAAGTTCTACTACTCCCAGTATGCCAGCTGCAGCATACTGGGCAATACATGCCACTTTCTGGCTAAACCTGCAAAGGAATACACTTTTAGACTACAGTCATATACTCATTTACCTTCTGAACTCAGTGAGACTTATGCCTCAGAAGACACGTGTAAGATTGTGCTGCTGCTGTATGTTTTAGCTAAGGAACAGGATTTGATCAAGGGAACATCCATTTTCACTTTTAAATGGCATAATCAAGAGACAGGTTTACTACCTTATTTTCTATTTTCTCTGCTACAGTACTCTAACAAACCTGACCTCAGATAAGAAGAGAAAGCAATAGTTTACCTAAGTAAATATGCATGGATATAAAAGGAATCTCAGAATACTATGCCTCAAATTATACCCCAGTTTAAACCAGGCCCTTTATATTAAATAAGAATTAAATTAATTCCACATGGAATTAAAACTTGTTCATCTTTTCAAAGCAACTGAACTGAAGTGTAAAAAAGAAGGAATGGAGACGGGCTGCCAAATATTGCTGTGTTTGCTTTCATTCTGTCACCAAAATGTATGGCAACCAATATTCAGAGAGAAAAAGAGGTCAATTTCAGAGGGCTTTCAGGGTGTGTTCCACAGATATATAACAAAGAAGAGCAATACAAAAAGAACAGGCTAACTCAAAGGATGACCCACAGAAAAAATAGTGTTTAAGAACCATTGCACAAGATATGCTCTCCTATACTATACCTGCAGGCAAACTGCAGGTCAGATGTGGTCCTAGTAGGCTGCCTGTGTGGCCTGTCATGGGTAGCCCTATGGCTTTGACTGCCACCACCATAATTATACCAGGAAAATATATACAAGGAAAGTCATTTCCACGTGCCTTCTTTCTCAGCATGATCAGGCTCCCAATGAACCACAAAGTATCAGTTTGATGAGCTACAAGGGCACAACCGTACTCAGAAAACAGCACACGGGGTAATTCTCCTCATGTGCCTTCTTCCGTACTAGGACTGAGTTATCATGTTGTGGGGTAAGAAGTTATCCCCATGTGTCATTTTCTCAGCACTGGTGGGCTTCTGATAGCCTTCCAAATAGATGTTTATGTGGTGAAAAGGGACATGTGGGGATGAGTGTCTCCACATTTGTGCTTTTCCAATATGACTGGGCTCCTAGCAGCTCAAGCATGCTGGGGATGAAGATGCACAAGTAGGCTGTTCAGGTACCCTTCAGTTCACCAAGCACCTACCTAGAGTCCGCTGGTGCTAAGGAAGAAGACATCTGAGAACAGCAGCCCATGCATGCTCTCTCCTGTAGCACAACTGCACTCCCAAGAGCCCACTAAACTGATTGGTGGATGGCTGAAAGCATGATTTAAATTGCAAATATAGCACACAGCACATCGTATTCTCCAGTTAAACTATTTCACTAACAGCTGGCTAGTGGTGGAAGAGGTGCAAGATGCCCTCAGTATAAAGGAAGGGAAGCATAACCCATTCTTACTAACATGGACAGGAGGCTTGAGAGTACTCAGTGCATGTGTACATGATAAGAAGAACACATGAGTATCCTTGTGCATACACAGGTGTGATCCCTGATCTATAGTGTATCCCGGAATGCAGTTCTTGGGGAAAGAACAGTTGTCTACCCTTGCGTTTTACAATCTCTCTCTCTCTCTCTCTCTCTCTCACACACACACACACACACAGAGGGGGAGCTGATTTCACCTGGGGTAACTTAATTCCACTTTCTCCTTCATCTATTTAGAAAAGGCCAAATCCTGTTCCCATAATATGAGTGCTCCTGCTAATGTCTAATTGAGAAAATCTAGAAACACAAAATGTGCAAAACATTTTTTAAAAGCACAAAACGTAGCATTACACTATGACATGGAATTACTGCAGGACATTATTTCTGTCCAGAGAAACATAATCTATTCCTCTGAGAGATCCATGGCTAACAGACAGTGCTGGGGACTCAGGTTGAGCAATTTGCTCCCATGTCCAGCTCAAGTTGCATCAGCAACTCAACTCGGACTTGACTTGGGAGCACCAAGCAAGTGACTTGATTCAATTTGAAATTTCTGCATTTTTAATGACTGAGTCTCAGTCTACTGCTGGCGCAAAAACACCAGAGGTGGTGGTAGGGAGGGAGTGTCAAGGGGGCAGGAGAAGGACTGGGGTTGTGAGAGGGAGAAGGCAAGGCTTCAGCTCTTGGCACGAGAGGGAAGGGGGTTGCAATACAGGAGGAAGGCTTCAGTTCTTTTTAGTGCACTTTGCTCTCCTTGGCAGGAAGTGTAACAGTGCTTTTCTTGCCTGCTGCCTCTGCTCTGTTCCCATGTACTCTAATAATCACTGGTGGGGGATGCTTCCAAAAGTGGGAGGTGTATTGCATAAATTGCTAAGCCATTGCAGGTGCAGATGGGAACATGGGGAGTTTATAACTCCCCCCACCAACACACACACCTCACCTCCACCTCTCTTTTTTCTGTTAAGGTTGGGTTCTGAGACTTGAGCAGAGACTTGACACAAGCATTTCTTGCAATGACTTGCGATTTGACTTGCACTTGAAAGTAAAGACTTGAGACTTGACTCAAGACCTGGAGTAAAAGACTTGAACACATCACTGATAACAAGAAGCTGAAAGGGATGCTAAGTGCTTACTGGTATAGTTAATTTGGCAACAATTTACCTTTGTTTCTGCTGCATGGGTTGCTGCCTCATAGCCATATATTGCATGTCCTCTTGTAGCCGATTAAGAGGAGAGTCTGGCTTGACACGAATCCCATAGTAGTGATATTTGGAGTTCCCCCTTTAAAAAAAAAATTATGGCATTCACACTACATTCTGAAGATTAACCCTCTATGTTCTCCTTGGATTGTTTTCAGTTCCTAAAAACTTTCAAGTCTTAGCACTAAATCCTTTGTCATACTAGGATGGTATGGTAAACAACATACTGGGTGAACAGCTTCCAGAACTATCATTCAAACAGCATCGGGCAACTTTTCTCCCTTTCCCTCCTTAACATATTTTTGTGTTAAAAAAGAAGATGGAAGAAGCTGTGGATAAACAGAAGAAAGTTATAAATGGAATACAACAGTATCTCCCCCCGCCTGTGGCCAACTTGTAAAATTCCATGTCTGAGGCACATTAAGAACTTGCCTGGAAGAACCCTGGGTCTGACTGTGTAAATGCGGATGACTGTAGCCAGGTTACATTCCCAGCAGAATGGGAAGCTAGCTGTAGCTTCCTGCAGCAAGATCAGTAGACTCATATACGCAGCACTGGATACTACTTCAAGGTTTTAGCCAGATGTTGTAGAGATTTCCTTTAAGGGCAACAACTTAAGTTCAAATGGAATTTGTGTCAGAATCTGCAAGAATGGCATAACATCCCTGATTATGTGTTGTGAAAGGCAGCATGGTTCACCATGCAAGTGCCTCTAGGACCAGTATCTGACCTGAGGTGCTGGCAAGGATTGGAGCTTGTACAAGGAAGTTGTGCAGCTGAGAGCTATGGAAGATTCTGTAAGAGGCTTCCTTGCACTGTCCAGCTTTTCTGCAATGACACAGTGTTATCATTGCAGAAAATCATTGTGGTAGCTGTATCATGGCCCTGATAATGCACCCAGTTTTGTCTTGCCCTAACTTTGGTCTGACCACACCATTGCCTATTATCTGATCCCTGCCTGCTCCTGACCTTTCCTTCACCCCTGGTTCTGCCATGCCTTGGTATTTGACCCTTGTTGGTTCCTGCCTTTGCCTCTTGTCTTACTGCATCATGCCAAGATCTCCATCACCCCTGGTCCTAGTGCTCTAACCAGAGATACCTACAGCCTATGTCCTAGACCTGACAACTTGATTATGTTGAGAAAAAGGTTCCACATAAATAGTAAACAACTTATTTCTATCATCGCTATTTTATGCTATTTCATTTTATCTACATAAGGGTATTGGGAACAGTTATTGTACAGTAGAGCAATACAGTGGTACCTTGGCTCACTAAATCCGTTCCAGGACTCTGGTCGTGAGCCACGTCAAATTTCCCCATAAGGGTCAATGTAAATAAGGTTAATCCGTTCTGCAACTATTTTTTTTTTACTCACAAAAATGTGAAGCAAAGTGACAAAGAACAACAAAGACTGCGGCCATCTCCCCTGCCCCAGCGATTGTGCGGGGAGGGGGAGAAGGGCATGGGCATGTGGGGGGGTAGGTGGGTGCGCGTGTGCAAGGGGGGGAGGTGGGCACGAGGGTGTGCTGGGGGGGAGGCGGGCGCACTCGGGCACGGAACACGGGCTATCTCCCCCCCCCCCACAACCACGATCACAACCATTCAGGGAAGGGGGGCGCACTTGCAATCGTCACCAGATGCAGAGTTCACAACCTGCAGCAATTTTTTAAATGAAATTTCTGTTCGCGACCCGATTGGGTCGTGAACTGAAGTGTTTGTGAGATGAGGTACCACTGTACATGTATTCTGAAATATTTGTAACCTGGGCGTTAATGTTAATTCTGTTAGATGAATATGAAAACCTATCCTTTGCTTGTGTTCTTAATCTAAGGAATGGTCCTCCAATAACTATTTTGAAAAGAGAAAGTTTGACTAAGAAAAATGAAGGGAAATGTTTGGGGAAAAATGGCAAAGGAATTCGCCTCTATCTAACATCAATCCCATTTGTTAAATGATGTGACTTTGGAACGTCAGTTGGAGATATCACCTGCAGCAACTGATATATTTCCTTCTTCAGTGGACAGAAACTAACTGTTGCTTTTCCAATATTAAGAGGAAAAAGTGCTTAGCCCACATTTTCATGTACCACCTTTGCAATTTATTTAGAGTAACAATCTTCATTTTTACACTAGGCCATTTCAATAGAAAACAGAATAAGATGTTTCAGGTATATCCTCACCCTCAAAACAGGAGTATTCTTGTTTAGGGTGCTGGTCAGCCATCCGGCCAGCCACACCATCCTCTGGGATGTAAGCTGGTGGTGGAGAACCTCTAGCCTGTGGGGACCCTGGTCTGACCAACACAGCCTACTGAGGTTTCTCCAGTGGGTAGGCTCTAAGCATTGCTCCCTAGAGGAATCTTCTTGGAAGACATCTCCCTGTTGCTATCACTAAATTGAGAGCAAAGATAAAAGCAGGTATTTTCATTGAGCTGTTCACCACAACGTCAACACCTCTTTCTTGATCAATTACCATCAGTTGAGACAACTTGGGAGGATTTTCCTGTGCTTATTTTTTTCTTTTGTGTATGGGAGGTTGTCCCTCTCCAATCCTTGGTGGGTCTCTGAGTATGATGATATCTATCTCCTATTTCTCAGTAACCCCATTTTAGTTCTGTAGCTAATGGCACAGGGGCATTGAGTGTGCTATCAGAAAGAACTATCCTTGCTCCTATTAACTCAGAACTTTGCCTGCTTACACCAACCTGGTTCCCAATCTTCTGGTCCGCAGGCCCATGAAAATTGATCTTATTAGTTTTCCAAAGGAGGCAGCGTTGACTGGGTCCAATTTATGCTCCTGACAGTGTCTCAGGTAATGGTTGTAGAGAGTACTTCTGGGGAGACTCACTCCTTCTGCTGTTTCATAGTTGTCTAAAAGCCACTGAAGCTATTTTAATTTGGGAACAAAGAAGAAAAATGAGCTCAGCACAACAGTTACAACTTCAGTACATATAACATGAATAATAAAATAGTTTTTCATGTTTAGTAAGCTACAACTTTTTGCAATTCCAGTTAATTCTCTATAGACAATTATAGGGGAAGAGCAGCTCATAGTGTGTGACCTCAAGAAATACCAATTACTTTGGGACAATAACTACAGGTTAATTTAATGTGTCATGAAATATACTTTGAGGTAAAATGTTAGCACTTAAAGGAATATAAGCAATTTGAAAGTAAGTGTCACAAACAGAAAATAAAGTATTCTTATGAAATGATGGAAACACTATACCATGCTTAACAAATACTGAAGTATATACTCGAACATTTTTTTTTTATTCTGTCATATGAAAGAAGAAAGGTAGGGACCAGATCATCCCTTGCAAATTACTAGAAAAGTGATATATTCAATTCTACTGAAAAACAAATCTGATCCAATAAAACTCTTTTTCTTTTAGACTATAATATTCAGCCTATACATGTGGATATAGATAGGAAAACATATATATGATTATCAATCGATGCATATTAAAACTTTTAATTTTACATATGGCAATATATCCATAAGTTGCACTTTGAAACACAATCTCTACTTTTATAAAAACAAATTACTTTTCCTTCTGTTACAGTTTTAAATGCAATAAATATTTTAAAAGTAAAACATACACAATTTGAATTATATATACATATGGCTACCAGTGGCTTTGGCTAGGAATGCCAGGACTCAATTTTTAGCTTTAAAACTAGGGGCAGTCTCCAAAGGGGTGCTTATGCCCTTGCTGATTGTGTTGTCCTGCCAATTTCTTCTGAATTAGCACTTCCAGGGACAACTGGTAACAAGCAAAAATGGAATGGGGCAGGTTGGCAAGGTTTGCTTAAAGGAGCCCCACCAATCTGTCCCAATCCAGAAACAGCTATTTCCAGTCATTCCAATGTGAGGCCTGTTCTGTGCAAGTGGTGGGTCCCACTTGCACACTCGAATTAGCGGGACTCACCACTTGGACAGCAGGATCAGCAGGATGCAACCAAATTGTTGAAAGGTATGTAGAATTTCCCTGTTTAGTATAAGACATGCCTTTCCCACATGTGTGTGCTGAATTTCTCGAACAAACAACAACAGGGCCAAATAGAAAAGGCTTTTAAACAGCCTCTAAGGGTAAAATCCAATGAATATTTTCATCAGATGGAACTATGTCAGTGGAACTGGGAGGAGAATGCAGTACTCTTTCCCCTCCCAGCAGTTTCCCACACACCTTCAGATCTGTTCTAGATGGTTGGGGAACCTTCTGGAGCAGATGGGGGTGTCAGGGAGCTACAAGAGAGAAGGAAAGTCCTGTTACATGAACAGAAGACTGCTTGTACAACATTGGATTCTGCCTCTAACCAGCTATTCCACAGACTTTAAGAAAAATCTATGTTCAGTCTAAAATAACTGATATGATTCAAAAATTGGATGCATGAAATGAAGCTTCAGATGCTATTTAAAGTTTAATACAAAAGTGAATATGAAACAAGTGTGAAGTATTTCATGAACTATAAAATATCCAAACTGTTAAATATATAGTATTGAAAGATTTTGATAAGCCACCTATACAACCAGGTCGAAAAGAAGAAAAGTAGTCATAATATAAAGAATAGCTGCCAAACAAAAATTGAATAAAGTTATGATTAGATAATAGTGAGCTTTAAAGATTCTGAGAAAGTCATTTTATGTCACCCTTTTAACTCTACTTGTCATGTTCAATCTTTTTAAAGTTACTATTTAAATTTGCTAGCAGTGAACCAAGAAGAAATTAGAGATACACAGAGCAGTGACTAAAGGACTGAATTGTGAAAAAGTACACCAAATCTTGCTTCTACCATAAACTCTCTGACTGGCTTCACACATCACAAAAAGCAACCTTGTGTGGTTACCATGGTTAGTGGTTTCGGACTCTGATGAGCTTTACAGTCAGGCTAATAGTGCTAAGTCTCCTCCCTCCTGCCATGTCCATTCTTTCACTCAGTCCTCCAAGGCAGTATCCAAGGAGACACTGTGGGAAGGAATGAGGATCTTCTCCTTGACAGCTTTATTTGTGAACTAAGTTCAGCTCACTGTGGCTATTGAGAAGGCTCTGTTGCACAAACAGGGCTCGTGCCCTGAAACACAGCAGAGAAGACAAGAGTGCTGATCAGGTTCCCTTCCCTTCTGCTCCAGAGGGGGGTGCCTGATCCATGCTCAGGCAAAAGGGGAGGGGAGTCACCTTAGTAGTACAGCAGAAAGGAGCAATGCCCTTCAGCTGATTCCCCAATGCCCTGCTTTCTTGCAAGTGGTAGTGACAAGGGGGAGCCTACACTTATTCCCCTTTCTCATTTTTGCTTCCGAGAACAAAAATGGGGGACTAATGAGGGCATTGTCCCGACACTTGTGTCCCAACCAGACACTACTGCCCAGCTGATTCTCACCCCTCTCACTTGTTTCTCACAGGAGCACATGTAGGAGGGCAAGTGGGAGAATCAGCTGAGTCACACTGGTCCTTTCTGCAGCAGCATCCAGCTGATTACCCACTCCTGACCCAAGGAAGATTCTTAAAGCAAGAAGCAGGCAGAGCAAGGATGCTTCTGACAGTTGCACAAAATGAAAGCTTTCTGGTTCTACTGTTCATACCATTGGGGTGGGGAGTTGGGTTCAGATGACTCAACAAATCATCGTGGTACCAAGAAACCATAGAACAGACCGGTATTTCTGGTCCTGATTTCTAAAGACGAAATGGACCTTGTTGAAATACCACAACACAAACCCATGATGGTAAGCACACACACACACACTTACACACCCCATGGATTCTCTTTGGGTAACCTGTATTTGTCAGCTTCAGTGCCATCTTCCCCCAATAATTCATACTGCTCTATAGTATCCAGCTATTGTAGCTGGATGGAAGTAGTGCCATGAGTGCTATCTGATCCACAATCTGTATTCTCCCTACCCAGTATTCTCCCTGGAATTTGATATGCAACAGACAGTTTGTTTATTTCCAGCAACATCTGAACACTGGAAAAACCTTGACTGGAAATCCAATGATAATCCTGTTTCTAAATCCTGTTGACTGCCCCACACTTTATGTCTATACTCCAAAGAGGTTCAAGTTAAGAATTACATGCCACCTGAAGCTTTGTTTCTACAGAAGCCACTGTTTTAGGCATTCCTCCTGAATGGAAGTGGGCAAGTCCAGAGTAGCAGTTCAAGCTGAGAAGCAAAACATTCAAACGAAGGCAGGCAATTCTTCTCCATTTCTGCTTTGGGTATCCCTGAATGATTCAATCACTCTCACTAAAGAGACGGGCTAGAAATACCATTCCAGAGAGATTTGTCTGGAAGGAAGAACATTCTGAGCAGCAGAAAGCCTCTGTGGGTGAATAGTTAATTATTGTATGCATTTATTTTTCACAGCACATTAGCAGTTGTCTTGCAGCACAATCTTGGAATCATTGTGCTAGCTTTTCCCTACCTGTTTCAGTGGGATGGGTGGGGATGTTCTACTGATCCTTCAACATTTGACATTGTGTTATAAACAGATTTTTTATATTCTTCTCAAGCACATTTCTTCCTCACAGTAGGGAAGAATAAACTTGGCTAGCTGAAACTAGCCAGGCATTAGCCAGCACATTCAAAATATTCTGGTGCAGAATCAGCAAGAATTTGGGGCTGAAACTATCAGCCCATCCAGTGGAGCTCTCTTGAGAGGATGAATAAAATAAGGCACTGGGCATTGCAGGTAATCCTTAGCCCAAAGTTATACTGCCCTTGGCCATTTTCATTCACTGCAGTAATCAGATCTCATAAAGAGGACTGAGTGATGTTGAAAATTCTTACTTCATTAATACCAGAGTTCCTAGACAATACAAAAGTCTTTTTTTGCAATGAATATCCAAAGCTTAAAACATCCCCATTGCTTGTATTGCTGTGAAGGCAGTGAAAAACCCCTAGCCAGTAACACAAAAAGGGCCTGGTAAAATGTTGCTGCTGTTCCTGCCAATCAGCTGCCATTAAGTCCATAAGGTGACATTCATGCAGAAATCAGTTGACCCTGCCTTTGAGACAAACAGGATGTGATGTCACTCTGGCAAGCAACAAAGACAATGGCACAAATTCATGCAGGATAGGTCTGTCAGTGGACATCAGCATTACAGCTATTTAGCAGTAACTTCCATGCTCAGATGACTATACCTCTGAATATCAGATGTTGGGAACAAACAGGTGGTGATCATCAAAGTAATGAAAAAGCCACAAAAAGGAAAATGTATTAACACACAACCCAATACATAAATCATTTTGAGAAAATGCAAATTAACAACAGTATGGTCATGTTCTTAACAAGTAATTATAAGATTTTCCTATTAAAATGCCATACACTCACACAGTATTAAGCAATAGCACTGTAATTTCTTTCTGAGGAAGTCTGGTACAAAAACCTTCTGAACTGGAATTTTAGTCAAATATTATTATTAAACAATATATATATAAAAATCCAATCAACTTCCACACTTCCTAATAATTTCAATCCTCATTCTGCTACTCTAACTCAAAGACAGACTGGTATGGCAGGCCCCCCCCCCCCCATTCAACTGTCTCAGTTACAGTGGTTTCACTTAACTCAGGCTGACCATCAGCCCACTACATTTGCAGGGGTTAGGGGTACAGGTTCCCCACAAGAGTGGAAAACCTGTGAGTATCTTTAGAGAAAAAGCATTACTATCTCTAGGGAAATATGCACTCTGAGGGTGCCACAGTCTCAGTACCAGCCAGCCTCATATGTTTTGTCACTCAGTGGGCATGAAGACTCTAGAGATATATGCAGTTTTTCCCTAGAGATATCTGTGGTTTTTCCACTTCTGCAGAGGTCCCTTAACCCCCACAAATATAGCATTTGCTACTATCCATGTTTTCAGACATGCTGAGGTACTCTGAACCTATCCTTCCCGGATATTGGGATCCTGCTAAAATTACCATTCATGCAAAAGTGTTAGGGGCAAGTAAGATGAGCATAGAACATTAAATACAGAGATTCTACTTTAAAGGTTTTAAGAACACTGCCCAAATTAAATTTAGTTCTGACAGTTCATCTATTGAATGTTACCCTTCAATTGCTATGTTAAACAGTTCTCTGACTGAAAAGTTTTTCTAAGGTGGGAGCATTCCTCAGACTTCTAGATGTACCAGTGAATGATAGAATTAGGAGGCACAGAGGAGGGGTTAGGGTCAGAGGAGATAAAATACTTCATTTCTTCCCTGTACCTTATGAGAGTAAAAATAAACTCATACAAGTTTTTTAAAAAACACTGATTTACTGATAAATCTGGCTTCTCTTCATATAGCTTCTCAGTCTACCTTTCTTTATGTTTCTAGCTATTGATAAAAACAAAACAATAATCAGAAAGATAGTAATATTCAAGTGAAATTAAGGAATAAATTTCTATGAAGAAACATTCACAAAAATTTGTGAAATTTCTAACCATGGATTAACTAGTTTCTGTTAAGCAAGAGTGGCCAACTTGTGGCCCTCCAGATATTTGGGCCTTGCATTCCCATCGTTCTTCCCTCATCATTAGTTTTACTGACTATAGCTGAAGGGAACTGTAGGCCAAAGCATCTGGAGGGTCACCAGAGGCAACTTCTAGTGTAAGGGACATATTGCAGTAACACAACTTTATAAAGTACCTTCCTTTTTAAAAAAAAATGACATGGCTTTGCTTTCTCATAAAATAGCAGGAGGAGGCACGGAATATAATTGCTTCATTCAAGTTTATTCTTTGGTAAAAACCAGTACAAGAAAGGCTAAATAATATAATTTTCATGAGATTTACTAGAACATTTCAGGAAAAGTGCCAGCAAATCAACACTGTTAATGGCTTTGTTGTTTTTGAGTTTTTTTGTGGATATTCCAAAATTTAATCTTAAATTTTCAATCTTGAAAATTTCAATCTTGAAAATTTCAATCTTATTTCCACTCATAGACAGGCATTACATTTTACATGGTTTCATTTATTTTAAGATTTTTTTCATGTAGAACCAAATTAGAAAGAGTCATTTTCATTTTAAAATCTCAAACATGTAGGTTTAAAAAAAAATTCAGAGTAATGAGGTGGCATAAAGGTCAAAACAGTTGTACTGATTTTTGAAGAGGGACATATTGTGGAGTTGGGGGCTGGGCAAGCTCTCACGTACAAAAACAGCACAGGTTAAAAATGCAGTCTAGATCTAGTCAGTATGTAGCAGGTTTTTGAGCATACAGAAACTGTCACCGTAAACCATACCCTCTCGCTTCCTTAGACAACAATGGCAGCTTTCATTAGCACCACACTGTATTCAAGTCTTAGTGGTATAATTTACCCAAGATTTCTCATGTTGCCTCTTTACTGGTTCTCACATCTGCACTCCCTTCTACTCCTTCTGAAACAGGCCAGTTCTCATGCTCTGCCCGAGAGGCTTTATTAGGTAACCTTGAAACATCAAAGTCATCACTCTTGACCTTTGCACCTCTGCTTCCACCTCAGAATCAGATGAACAGTCTATAACGAGCAAGAGATGGGCCCACTCTCTACACCCAGTTGTCTCAGTCCAGAAACAAGCACCTCCACTAGTTGCTGGGGTTGTTTTTAGAGCAGCAAAACCCTGTTGTACAAGCAGTAGCTCCTATGAGTGTAATGGAAGCAGTGGAGGCAAAGCTACCCCACTGGATATTGCCCACAGGCTCTTCCATTTCCACCAGCCAAAACATCCTGAGCAGAACTCTGCTCATGGACTGCTTCTGTTAGTAGTAGGAGATTCTGGATCAAATCCAATAAATATACTGCTTTTTGGTGTCATTTTATGAAGTTCTTCTTATGTAAAACTAGCAAATCGTTTGTCATTTTAAGTGCAGGCTGTATATAAAGATAGTGCTTATGTACTGCAAAGATCCCTGAGCAGTACTCTACACAGAGGCACATTCACACCTGGTTGAGCCCAGGTGCCCACCTCCAGGTGTGAAGGGGTTTTGTCCCCCTGCAACAGTATAATTGGCTTGCATGCATAGTAGTGAAAGATAACTTATATGGGAAAGAATAAGGAGATGCACTCAGAGAGATGAATGAAATGGAAGCCTGCTTCTTCCCACTGGTGACTTTGGCCTATGAAAATCATGTCTGTTCATACCCATACATTTCTATTTCTAGTCACATCCTGGGTTCCATTTCTTTCTTACTAGAGTATGATGAAGTTTGGGATGAAGATGAAGTATATCTATACAAGTACAGATGAAACAAGTAAGTCAGATCTTTGCTTTAACAACACACTTTTATCATAATTGTGAGCATGACAGCCTGTTGCTTGTCAAATGACAAGAAAATACACATTTTAATAGTATGACGTCCATGTTAACTCAGATTTATTGTGACTGTTATCTTTAAACTGCTTTGGGTGGTTGAGGAAATCTAAAGGCTCAAGTTTTGGTACTCTGAGATTTTGGCTGTAGTAAGATACAGCAATGAGCTGCTGTGGAAATATGAAAGCAGAAAGGTTCAGAAGCATTTTTAAAGAGAGATTTAACAAAACAAGCATTTAGAAGGCAAGCTGAGCATGCAGAACAAGCAAGGGATTAGTTTACATGAAGAAGAGGCAACTTACATGGCTGTTGAGAAGAGAGCTTCTGTGAGTGGACAGACCATCAGACTTTTGCAGTGTCTCAATCGCCATTTCAATCTGATAATAGATGTCATTAAAAAAACGGCTCAAGACAAGATAGTAATAAAAGAATGACTACAGAAATTTTGATAGATTGCCCAAAGTTCAAAAGGAAACTTTAGTTCAAAGACAGATATTACACTTTATTGAAGACATTCACTTCAAGTTGTTACAACGGCAAATCTTGCATCAACTTCTGTGTCTATAGAAACTGAATAATGAGGTTCTCAGAAAGGACACTTCCCTCCATTTAGAAAAAAGACAGGAGCAAATGATTTACTGCTAAGCCACACAACAAACAATTAGGGATCTTGAAAACTCTATATAATGTACATAAAATAAATAAGCATTCTAGAAAAATGGTATACAAATAAACAAATAAATATGTGACTGAGGTTCCAATCCTGTACCCACTTACCGGGCAGTTAAAGTTACATCTGAGAGACATGCCATAGGATTTCAATGTAAACCTCATGGACATTAATGAGACTTGTTTTCTGGTAATGGGAATGTACTATGAGAAGCCATTTTGCAGCAATTTTGTATTATGCACCTCTTCCCTGATGATTCTTAAAACATCATTAAACAAGCTTCTGTCATTAGCCTCATTATTTAAATTGCTGATAAATCAACATAATTTATTCACTGAGATAACATTCTGACCTCCCCAATAATAATCTGTGAACAAGACAGAACTAGTCTGCTTAATGGTTTTGCCACAGCAGTTTCTACTGTCAAAGCACAATTCAGTTTAAAAAGAGTTTTGAGTCTTTTGTAGTGAGTCCTGAAATGTGTGTGTGGGTGGGGGGCGGGGCATGCATGCACAAGGCAATCTCCAGATGTACATGTAATTTTTCTCCAAGGACATGATTTTCTACTTTGGATCTACTTTAAGGCTACTTCATAGCCTTAAATGTACATCCTCATGAAGAATAACTGGATTTGTATGTCTAATAGTCTAAAAATCCATTAATAAAAAGGGATGGAAAATATTCTGTATATGAAAAATAATGAATCATAAAATCAAAGTAAAAATAATACTCAGCTTTTCAGAGAGAATAGTACAAGATAGCCTACTGTGCTGGTTCAGAAATAAAACAGCAAAGCATAAATTAGCTGTTGAGAAAAAAACCGTGTAACAGAAACAAAAGAATAAATATGTTTTTATGTTTCTCAATGGACACTAGTGAATATTTTGTGCTAATTTATAGAGAGGCCAAATAAAGTCCTCATTTGTCTGAGGTGTCCAACCAGTATTTCATCTAGCAGAATTCAATTTACTCTTCACAGGGAGAAGTCCTTCCCATCCCTATTCCCCAATATCCTTCTAACTAGAGATGTCAAGAACTGAAATCTGGGGTCTTATGCATGCAAAGTATGTGCTCCAGCACTATGTTATAGCTTTTCCATATCAAATACAAAACTGATAAAAATTAAAAGGCTTCCTCTAATATCATATTCTCTGCAAATACACTATCTTATTGAAAATATTTGCAATTGGCCTCTCAATTAAGAGTTTCCAAAGGATTCAACAATATACTGATGATATGAAACCAACATGTTAAACTAACTAGCAGAGATACTGGTAAGAAAACCACAAACAAGAAAAGGCTTAAACAAGACAACCCACAAAACCTGCTAGAAAACACCTGCTTTGATCAGTTGTCTAAAAGCTAGTAAGTAGTAGGGTGAACATTTCTAGATAAGAGTTCCACAAGATCATTGTAACCACAGAGAATACATTGTCCTTTGTGTTGCTAGCTAGTATACTTCAGGTAGTGAGGGCACCCAAAGGGCCTCCCATGAAGTTTGGAAGTTTCACATGAGAGCAGTCATTTGGGAGCAGATTGCTATTATGGTATGCTGGGCTCAGACTAATCTTTAAACACAAAACTAGCACTGGAAACTGGAAGTCAGCTAGGTTGTTGCAGAATCAATCTATTTCACCATCTAGGATCATTAACCAGCAGCTGCATCTTGAATCAGTCATTATTTCCAGACAACACATCACAGTAGCCTAATCTAGAATTCAAAAGGCCTCAAAGGTAGGTGGAAGCAATGCACTGCCAATTAATCCACTTAATCTAGAAAGACATGCTTAAGGAGCAATCCTACACTTGGAAACTGGAGCAATAGGATAATAGAGATTCCCCCCTCTGACAGCACTACAACCTTGGAAGGAGGAGTCTGAGATCTTTTTTAGCTCCTTTGCAGCTGGCACAGAAAGAACTGTGTCAGCTGGCCTCTGATGTAGGAAAACCAACTTTGAAGAAAGGGGTATTTCAATGTACAGGGAGATGAGGAGACCAGAGTGCCAGCATATGAGCTATTCTAAGCCTCTTCCAGTCGCCTTTCTTCCTTATTTGAAATGATGTCACTAGATGGGCAAAAAAGCCTGTCTAGTGAAAAACCAAGTGATTGGCAATAGAGAGGTAAAGACTGCTTCCATTGGTTCTTTGGTTTCAGCCAGGCAGAACACTGGATAGATGGAGGTTTCCAAGTTTGATACCCATAGGGATGGATTTTTATTTACTTTCCAAAGTTCCTTTTATGCATGTTTTGCAGATACTATGCCTGGCTAATCCTCACCTTCTATTCATTATTCTCATAGTGGTATTTCCTTCCCTCAAAGGAGGGAAAAGTCAAGCATGTACTTAAGAATTATATATACTTAGCTCAGTTATACTGAAATAAAGTAACACTATTTCAAAGTATAATTTTGCTGTCTAAACTATCCAATGGGCACATGCATTGTTTCTGACAATAAACTCAATTTTTTTTCAATAGCAATCTCTTTTCAATAAATAGAAACACATAATTTTAAAATTATGGGTACAGCAAAATTTGTTATTAATCATAAGGGGCCCAGGACTGTTCCATGCTGCCAGTATAATGAATGGAACTTGATCACAGACACACACACGTCAACCACTGCTTCTTTTGGGGATGGGAAGAGCTACTCAAGGCAATTCTCTGTGTGTGTTTATGCGTAGCAGCTCAGTATTTTAGATATTATTTTATATAATCATGAAAGATGTAACAGGATAAACTTATATTAAATAGCATGATGGGTTACACGATGTATTTCTCTCGTTCTGAAATTATTCCTAACACCACAATATCTCTGACACCACAGCAGCTAAGCCAGTGACTTTTCTGGCACCTTATCTTCTAAGCCCTGCTCCAACATACAGCAGATCAGCCACTCACTGTCAGATAGCACTCTCAAACACTTTCTAAACATATTAGGAACTTTCAGACATCTGCTGTCCACATTAATATTTTATTTTGGAAAGCATGGAACACAGAATAACAGTGATTTAGATATTCTAATTCCTTCTGACCCAGTCCTAAGTGGAATGTGTGCACCTAGTGGTGGTGGGGACTTCAGCTAGCTTTGTCATACATGTTTCTTAAAATGTTATTCAAATTCATTCAAACTAAAATTGCTGAAAACCTACATACACATGAAGAATTACTTGGATTACTTGCATCTAAGATTCCAGTGGGAAATAGGGCATCCACAAATTAACTAATACAACCATACTATTAACTTTCTAGCTCTCCAGAAATAATACTTCCTTAATAATGGATGGTGCCGTCCCTTGAGATCGGCAGCAGAGGCCCTTCTCCGGGAACCCTCCATGAAAGATATTAGGAGGGTGGGTACCTGGAGGGCCTTCTCTGCGGTGCCGCCCCACCTACGGAATGCGCTCCCCAGAGAGGTCCGCCTGGCGCCGTCATTATTTGTTTTTCGGTGCCAGGTCAAGACCTTTTTATTTAAAAGTTATTTTAATTGTTAATTTATGAATTGTATTTATGGGGCTTTTAGGTATATGCCGAGATGTTTCTGGTTGTTTAACTCTAATTGTACAAACTGTTTATTTATGTTTATTATTGTTGTAAGCAGCCCCGAGGCTTTTTGCGAATGGGACGGCATAAAAATGGTTTAAATAAATAAATAAATAAATAAATAAATAAATAAATAAATAAATAAATATGCTGTTCTGAACTATACCTACAATGTTACAAAGAAATCTTTTGTTTATACTGGATTGACCCCAAAAAGGTGGGGGGCTACAGTGGCCAATTATGTTAGTTAAGAACATAAGCACAGCCATTCTAGATCAGACCAAAAGTCCATTTGGCCCAGCACGCCATACACATGGCAGAAAATCAGCTGCCCACAGGATCCCTCAAGTAGGATGGGTGCAAGGCCTCTTCCTGCCCAATTCCTCAGCAACTGGTATCTGCAGGCATGCCATCTCTGATAACGAGGTAGTACATAGTCTCTTCCCTCATGAATCTGTCCAATTCTCCTTTAAAGTCATCCAGGTTGAGTGCTATCAGCACTTCCTATGGCAGCAAATTCCACAGTTTAACTATATGCTGTCTGAAGAAGTACTTGCTTTTATCTGTCCTAAATCTCCCCTCAAGCTTAATGTGATGACCCCAGGTTCAAATGTTATGTGAGAAGGAAAAACAGTCTCCCTCTCCACTTTCACCACACTGTGCATTTTTTTAAAAACCTCTAATTCAGGGCTTTCAGTATTCTTTTCTTTGACAGCATCCTTCAAATGTGTGTCATATTGACTTTACATTTTCTTGCAAGACCCACCCTCTACAAAGAGAATCATCTTGAGCTTTATAACACATGCAACTGATGCATGCGTCAATGACCTATTACAGCCATTCCTCTTTATTTCCTCCAATAAAAATGCATGCAATTATTTTAGAGAATATGGATGTTTGTCTAAGTAGGAAAGTGAAAATAATATTGTTAATACACATATGCAATATGAAGAAAATTTCATGAAGATATTCACCACAGATTCGGGGCAAATGGATTTTCAGACCAAGTCTGAGCAGGATAGGAGGAGGAGAAATCAAGGCAGAGAAACTTCCTTTCCCTATGGTATGCCAGCTTGTGCTGGCAAGGTAGAAAGTGGGGAGCATCAAATCCAGGGCTTGTGCACTTCCTCCTTCAGTATTCTGGGTTCATGTTGGGGGAATTGGGA